CTTTTCTTTTTTTAACAGCAGATCTAACAACAAAGTTTCCTTTTTCAGATATTTTGTCAATATTTGTTCCTTTAAATTGCGAAAGAGCACAATGGAATCACTATGTTTCTCTTCTTTTAACTGTCTGTCAAAAACATTTGTCTATAGTCAATGAACTTTCCCAAAAACGTCTGTCCTGACACCCTGCTCCCAGGTTCAAGACGGTGGAAAATTACTTTTCTTACACTCTCTTCTGCAGGTTTAAGCAATCCGGAACAAATCCCCCTCTTCTCCTGCTTCCGAAGGGGTTCAGTAATTTTAGATGATGAAAGTTGATCCTTTACAAACGATTTTCTACACTCTAGTTTGCCATGTCTTTGCTTTAATCTATCTACAAGAAACGGAAGGCTGACTTCCTGTTTAGACCTTCCCGCTTCAGTGCCAAATTAAAAGGAATTTCTTAATCCAATTTTCCGTTCTACTCACAGATCGTTGTTTAAAGTCCAATTGTCCAAATTTGATCTGCTCACGGGTATTTATTTTGTAGCCAAATTGTCCCAGGAAAAAGGTAGCGCTCTCTGGCAACGGCTGTGCGGCTTCGCTCCACGGAAGAAGCAGTTGACTCTCAGCACCGCGCCACTAACCCCTCTTCGCTCCGGAGCCTGTAATTGGGTTCCTTTACGAATTGGGGGGGGCGCAAAAGGTGCCCACCGAGTCCCATGGTCACAGGCTTCATCCACCTGTGATTTTTTAGAGGGTCCCCGCTTCGCCGTAGCGGAACAGACCCGTTTCCCGTGGAGCCAGTCCCTCCGGATCAGAGGGAATCCGCCATTACCAATGGCGCCACCCCGGAAGACTATCTCTTTTTGAAAGTTTGAAGCTGTATAACCAAAACCTTTCTTATTGTCTTCCTTAAACTGTTCATTTAATTGTCTATGATGTAACCAGCTTTGTAAAAAGGTCTTCAATTCCTCATATCCTTTCAGCCTTAATCCTTTCCCCACCTCTATTAATAATTCTCTATACGCCGGCCACTTCCCTCCTTTACTAAGTGGTTTTTAATGCTAATGCTTCCACCGGCGAGAGCCACCATGGAGTTCTTGGTTGCAGAAAGTTTTTATATTTATTCCAAACTTTTATAAGTGCTTTTCTTATTATATGATTATGAAAACCTTTATGTTTGTTTATCTTTCCCATACCATAAATATGACTGCCAACCAAATCTATTATCATGTCCTTCCAAGTCCAGTATTTCATCTCTTTCTAATTTAATCCAATCTCGAATCCACATGATGCAAGCTGCTTCGTAGTATAATTTCAAGTCTGGAAGGAAAAAGCCTTCTCTATCTTTTGTATCTTAAAGTATTTTATATTTTATTCTAGACTTTTTCCAATTCCAGACAAGCTTAGAAATATCTTTATGCCAGTTTCTGCAGCAGACAAGATTGCTTATTATTGGTACTGACTGGAATAAAAATAACATCTGACTAAAAAGGCCTTGAAAACCTTGTTCAGGTGTTGTTGTTATTTCTGTTTGAAGTTTTTACTGACATTATCTTGCAATATATCATTCTCAGCTTTGGGAATATTTCATTGCTCTGAGAACATGTTATTATTTATTAAATTATCATGCAAAATAAATAAGGAAATAATACAACAGAATGACAGTTTCACCAGCCGATATTACATAAAAGTAAATGTAAATAATTGCAAGTGCTTTCCTACATAATTTTTTCTCCCTATCCCACCCCCCACAACTAAATAATAAATGTGACCACAATTAAGAGATACAATTGCAGATGTGGCTTGGTTTTCCTTGCTCAGATTTTTGCAAGATATGCTGCTTACATAGTAGAAAACAGCCATGGCCATATGTCAAAGCCTGCAAGCATATGCAGAGCAGGTTATCTGGATCATGGCCTAAAACTGAGATCTTAGAGTGCTACTTTACCTGTGCATCACACTGGCAGCTGAATCTGTACATTACAGACTGGCAGCTGAATCTTACTTCAACCATAGTGATGGAATGACATCCTTCCTCCACCATACCTGAGGGCAGCAGGCAAGTGTTGTGGGATCTGCTGCAGCAGCCTGGCATCTGCCACCTGAATCAGCTGCCTCCCTTTGCCTAACAGTAGGGCAGGCCCTAGACCGAGCTGAAAACAGCAGAGACCTCAGAATAAATTAAAGCGGCTCTCAGGGCAAAGGGTTATTACAAATCCTTAGCTTATGGGTGACTTAATTCAAATATTTCTCTTTCCAGCCATCCAGAGTCACATTTCAAACACATGAGAGCAAATGTTAACCATGTTCTCCATTATAAAATCCTTAGCCATTTGCTATGTGTCCATGAACAATAAGAAACTGCAGTGCAAAGGAGAAGTCTTAACCACAAAAATACTAAACAAATTTGTTATACGAGCTGTCAAAATGAATTCAGGATGGATCTTAATCCAGGCTTAATAAATATTATTTTATGGATAAAGAAAATATTTTGATTGTTCCAATAGGAAGGATTCCCCGCCCCCCTTTTGAACAAAAAGCATTCTTACTTTCCTAATGGTACATTTGTTTGCCATTTCCTCCCTTCACTGTTTTGATTTTAACTCTTGCCCACACACTTTCCCCATCTAAACTCCTTTTGAATATAATTTTAAGACTATACGTGTGTGGGGTGTGTGTGTGTGTGTGTGTGTGTGTGCGCGCGCAAACCTTATATTTATGATCATTCTTCCTGCTTTAAAACAGGGAGTCCTGTGGGTGGGGAAATGAGGCAAAATATGTGTCGGGAAGAGTTTCCTGCTTACTGGAGGTCCCCCCAATTTTGCATAAAAAAATGTGAGGCTTCATGGGATGGACATAGGATCTTGAGCCCAACCCCTCTCCCAAACCCTTCAAAAGTTCTGCCTTATGTGCATGTTGATGCGTATGGGCATGCTGGCCAACATTTGGACGTGGATATAGATCCGAGTTCTTTCCACATTCAACCACTACAGTGCAAGGCCTATACTGGATAGACACAGAAGTGCCTTACCATCTGTCATTCAATGCACACCCACATACACTGACTACTGCCACCAGAAGTGGATTTTTTTTTTTTACACTGTATCAACAGTGTCTGATGCCTTTGTTGCACGTGCGCTTAATGTACAGTGGTACCTCAGGTTACAGACGCTTCAGGTTACAGACTCCGCTAACCTGGAAATAGTACCTCAGGTTAAGAACTTTACCTCAGGATGAGAACAGAAATCGCACGGCGGCAGCAGGAGGCCCCATTAGCTAAAGTGGTACCTCAGGTTAAGAACAGTTTCAGACTAAGAACGGACCTCCAGAACGAATTAAGTTCTTAACCCGAGGTACCACTGTAATACCCTTACAAGTTTCAAGCTAATTTGATCAACAGGATGTCTGTTTTCACTAGCAACCAGAAAGAAAATTTATGTTCTCAGGTGCAGTGTCCAACAGATGATTGACGCGGTCAGTTCTAATAGCTCCAATCACCTGTTTAGGGCAAGGCAGGCAGATTTGAGACAGCCTATTACCCCTCATAGCAGGATTCACTAATTTATGGTCCTGCAGATGTTGAACTACAATTCCCATCATCCTTTGCCACTAGCCGTGCTATCTGGGTCTGATGGGAGTTGTAGTTCAACAGGAGGTCCGTAAGACTAGTATCCCCTTCCTCATGGGAAATCAGAGGTGCCAAAGCTAGCATGACAAGGTATCTGCCCTGTGCAGATATGTCATATGGTGCAGCAATGTATATTCAGCTACCTGGGCACCTCTGGACTAGTGCCATTATTACATTTTTGTACTATATCTCAAATACTAATTGCTGAGACTTATTACCTTGGAACCTCAGCCAATAGTTTAGTCAGCTTAGATAACTATAACTGGTCTTTTTATTATTTTATTTAAAAAAGCATATTATTGTGAGGTATAGGAAGCTGTGCTTGTGTATTTTACTGCTAAAGGCTCAACCTGATCACCCAAATCCGCCGACAGGAGGTGCTTTAGAAATAAAAAATGTTAATAATGAAATTGTGTTATTGTGATAGGTAGATTTAAGGTATACGCAGTGTCTTTATACTGCACGGAGCTAATTCATTCCTATTTTCTGAGTTCATGCGGTGAATCCATATGCTTTCCCCTTTGTTAATTTCTTAAAAGGTCACTGCCCCTCTGTGATCAATCTTCCAGGGAAAATTTCAATACTTCAACCAGTGATTGAATGCTTTTAGCTTCACTTTGCAGAATGTATGGGATATTAATCATCATTAAATTAATGTTGTTCTCATACAAAGATTCTTTTTTGGGGGAAGTAGGTTGCCAGTCATCCTGCTGTGGGGTCAGTGGGTGGGAGGCTGTTGATTTTAGACCCAGAGTAGGGGACAGTTGGAGCCAGGCTTTTAGTGATGGATCCCTTGGCTTTTGGAGACGCTAGAGCATTTCAAAGCAGTAACTGTTCTCCATCTCGTGCCAGATAACGCAGTGTGATGCTCCACTGTTTGCCGAGGCCTCCCACAGAGGCATCTCACATAAGGTAAAGCCATTGCCTAGAATTCAGACCAAGCTAAAAGGGAAATTGTGCTACAAAAAGGCAAGCCAAGAAATGCTTATCACGGGCAGTGTGGCTAGCAAACTGCTGTGGAAGAAGAGACAAAAATTCCGCAGCAAGTTCTTTGTTATGCTAACGTCAGGTTTCTTTGTGGGTGTGAAATAGACACCGGCGGGGGGGGGGGGGGTGGATTCATAGTGACGTTCGGATGTGTCAATTTCACTTTCCTCTCAGTTCCTCATTTTTACAGTCTTAAATTCAGTTTTCCACATTTTCACGGTAATTTGTGGTATGTTTTTAAAACTCTCCTTAAAATTCATCAACGTATTTTTTCCTAATATGCCTATTTTTGTAGCCTTAAAGCCTACATTTTTGTGAGCAACTGCCCCAATATAATGCATTTTTTGGCGTTATTTTCACCATTATTTGCATGTTGTAATCTGCTTTGAGGGTTCCGCCCCCCTTACAACCAAGTGGTGTGTGTGTGTGTGTGTGTGTGTGTGTGTGTATCTATAGACAGACACACACACACACACACACACACACACATAATGAAATAAATAAATAAAATACAACTTTATACAATTTTTCTCTCAGTATATGCCATGTTGCACACATTGTATCATTGGATAACTGCATCACAAAAATTGTAAAAGTGTCCGTTTCAAAGAAGAACTGTGTTCTCAAGAAGTGCAAATCTGATCGTTTCTTATACAAATGGAAACAGAATCAAATCCCCCTCCCCCACGAAATCCCTGGGGAGGAAGTAGTCCCAATTAAGAACACTGCCCTGTGCTCAATTTCTAATAAGATATTTTAGGAGTGCTTAAACTGCTTTGGAATCTCCATACCTCCTTGCCACACCCCTGCATTCCTGCTGTTTGGGGATTAATGATGACGACTCAGCCTGCCTCTTAGACATTACCCTAAGCCAATGGAGTGTGTTTCATTCCTTTTGGATGTTTCGTGTTAGCAAAGGAGCCCATGCCGCTGCCCTCTGCACTTGGAGCTGGGGCAATGTTGATATGGGAAGTAGCCTTGGTGTACATTTGTCTCACAAAACCAAGACTTTTTGATGTTAACAGAGTGATGCAGGAAGGATGCACTATTGCAATTCTATGTGCAATGCTAACATAACATCAGAAGTGGCTTAGACTGTGTGGGAGAGAGATACCCTTCATATTCTCAGTGGCATTCTGGGTTATTTTTTATTACAACAGTACCTTGGTTCTCAAACTTAATCCGTTGCAGAAGTCCGTTCCAAAACCAAAGCGTTCCAAAACCAAGACACACTTTCCCATAGAAAGTAATGCAAAATGAATTAATCTGTTCCAGACTTTTAAAAACAACCCCTAAAACAGCAATTTAACATGAATTTTACTATCTAACGAGACCATTGATCCATAAATGAAAGCAATAAGCAATGTGCTGCAGTCACACAATCAATCAATCAATCAGTAGCTGAACTGGTTCCCACACAGTCACAAAAACAAAACAAAAAGAGCCGCAAAAACAAAAACACAAAATAAATAGCAAAAACTGACAGACCTCAGTGTAACACTCCAATCGGAAGCGTAACACTTAAAACAGAGCACGTTCGGCTTCTGAAAACAGTTGGCAAACCGGAACGCTTACTTCCAGGTTTGCGGTGTTTGGGTTCCAAGTTGTTTGAGTACCAAGGCCTTTGAGAACCAAGGTACCACTGTACTCCACTTTTATTGCATAGGTGTCTCAACTTTACTCCAAGATGATCAATGAAGCATAGAATGTTCTCTACCCATGATATCCTAACCGCAACCCTGCCAGGTAGGTTAAGCCAAGAGACTGACTGCCCAGGGTCAATGAGTACCGATGCTGAGTGGGGATTTGAACCTGGAGTTCAACACTCCAACCACAATACCTGGGCATACACACACACACACACACACACACACACACACACACACACCTGGGCAGTGGCGTAGCGTGGCTTGTCAGCACCCGGGGCAAGGCAAGTAATTTGCGCCCCCTAACCCGTGGATTTGCGCCCCCTAACCTGTGGATTTGCGCCCCCTAACCCCCAGATGTTGCGCCCGGTGCAGCCGGCCCCCCCTGCACCCCCCACGCTACGCCACTGCACCTGGGAACAAAAAGCTAAACCCTGCCTATAGTAAGAGTATGTGTCGAGATTCAAAACTTTAGCTTGCATTGGAGATCTGAATGCTTGAAAAACATTGTGACATGTATTCATCACAATTTAGAAACACATGGAGAACATCCCAACAAGGCCAAGTATCCAGACATATCACTCAGGGCATTTTGGGGGATGGAAGAAATTCACAACCAGAGAGCACAGGTACACACAGTCTCATCTCGGAGCCACACTTGGGGCTGCTCTAGAAATACAATAATCAAGAAAGGGTTCGTGTTCAGCTATCCTAGACTGGAAAGGTTCATGTTTTAACTATAAACTCAGCACACATCTGGAAAGAGGAAGATTTGAATTCTGGAGACAATACAATATAGGCGGTGACCATTCTGCGCAGGGCGTTCAGTTCCTGGTCACCGCATGTGATGGCAGAGCATGCTTAAGCCCGCCCTGTTCTACTCTCTTCCAGGTTCAAGTGGAAAATGGTTGTCACCTGTATACAAGAGATTTATGCACAAACCCAAAGTATTTTCTAGCCAAAATTTAGCACTTTTAGTCTTAATTGTAAAAAAATTACACAGCAATCCTATACATGTAAGGCGTTGAATTCAATGGGATTCATTCCCAATACAATAGCCTCACAAGCCTTGAATTGTTGATTCAGACACATTTTAGCATGACCCCTTATTAAATCGCTCTCTGTTTGTAAAGCTGTTTAACAGCAAGAGAAATGTTTAGCATTTTAAAGTCCTGTAGATTTCAATGGAAGAGTTATGGCTATAATTGTATCTGAATCAACAATTAATAAAATACAGATCTCACCTGGTTTGACAGAACCGTACTATATAAATGATATTATAAAACAAGAGAACATATTTATGCTTTCTATCAATGAAGCCTGTTCCAGCTTCTTAAACCAAACAAATGCTGTCATGTGCTTTTGGGTATCCATAATATAAGCCATCTGTGAAAGGCTGGTGGTTTTTTTTTTTGCAAAGGCATCCTTTCCAGGACGCTCTGATGATTTTGTCACTACTTGGGGTTTTGGCAGGTCATCAGCATCCCTCCAATTCCCCTTCATGAAATATAGCTTGTGAGCAGGATCTTCTGAAGGAACAGGCGAAAGATTTGAAAGTACGCCATGCCTGCTTTCACAAATGCAAAGTTTTGTCTTTAATCAAAGTGTGTTTTACTGTGCTGGTTGCCCCTACTGAAAAATGGTATCCAAAAACACTGTTTTCAATGCCTGCTAAAAACTTTATTGTTTCGGCAAGACTACTTAGAAATGTAATTTTATTTATGTATATTTGCTTTTACAACTGTTGATTTTACCTGTATTTTGACCATTTTATTGTCTGCTGTTTTCAAGGTCTGTTTTTATCATTATTTCATTTTAATGACTATTTTATACTATCATGTAAACTACCGAAAGGCAGTTTTTGATTAAGCAGTATATAAATCTTGCTGAGTAAATAAATAAAATATATGGACAGGCTAGGTAGTCTGACCAATTCCGAAAGACAAGTCCGCTTAACTTATTGGGTGGGCAGCTTTGTGGCCAGCCCTTGGGGCCCGTGGTGATCCAGCCTGGGGCCTGAGATGGGCGCCCTTCTAGCTGGGGCTTGGCCATGCCAATGGTGCAGGGCAGGGTCCCACCCAGGAGGGCAGGCCCCACTGAACAATCAGCACTGGTGGGGGGCGTGTCCACAGTAGATTTAAACCGGGAGACCGCCCTCTCACTAAAGAGCTGATCAAGTACAGGTGATCTGTTGCTGTAGGAGCTAATGGCTGGAGATCCTCATGGAAGGGGGCAAGTCTTTTTCCACTTTCTCCCTTGGCTGGAGGTGACATCATTAAGGTGTGTGTGAAATGGCGAGGGGGACAACCAAAAGAAACTGGCAGTCTTGGGACTGGAACTGAAAAGAGATATAGAGCCTTCCTTCAGTGTTGATGGTAGAATGGTACATAGTCATTTCTGTGAGTGGAGAGCACCACCACTGGTTAGGGGAAGCTTCTCCCTGCTGATCTGAAGCTACTTCACCAGTGGAAGCTAGCATAAAGGCCTGAAATGAGTTGTTTCAGCATGGGAGGCCAGTGGCTTTAGTTACACTAGTTCCAAAGGCCTGTGCTTTCCAAAGGGGGCCCAATCCTTGGATTTTTGGAGCTGGTATAGGGATGTGGGTGGCGCTGTGGTCTAAACCACAGAGCCTAGGGCTTGCCAATCAGAAGGTCGGCGGTTCGAATCCCCACAACGGGGTGAGCTCCCATTGCTCAGTCCCTGCTCCTGCCAACCTAGCAGTTCGAAAGCACCCCAAAAAGTGCAAGTAGATAAATAGGTACTGCTCTGGCGGGAAGGTAGACAACATTTCCATGTGCTGCTCTGGTTCGCCAGAAGTGGCTTAGTTATGCTGGCCACATGACCCGGAAGCTGTCTGCGAACAAGCACCGGCTCCCTTGGCCTATAGAGCGAGATGAGTGCTGCAACCCCAGAGTCATTCACGACTGGACTTAACAGTCAGGGGTCCTTTTACCTTTTTATAGCAAAATATAAAACTCTCACACACATATCCATTTTCTGTCCTGGTGGGTGTGGAACAGCAAGGTGTGGGATGCCACAGTGGACCCACACAATTCCACACCTCCCCTGCCCCACAAAACTGCAGTGTAAGCCACTCAAGAGGCTACCATAACAAATCAGGAAGCTCCTGATGCCAAATCATACCTATTGGTCCATGTAACCTAGTACTGTCCACTCTGTCTGGCAGTTGCTCCCAATGGTCTCAGGCAAAGGTCCCTTTCACATCACCTGCTATACAATCTTTATAACTGGAGATTGAACCTATGCCCTTTAAAAATGTGTTGGGGGGTGTTATTGGGTTTTTCTTGTTTTCATTTTGATAATGTACTTTGTGGTTTTATATTCTGATTTTATTGTGTCACACACACACACACATTTTACATCTGCATGACATATGAAGAGGATGGATGCAAGCGATACCTCTAAGTCTAATTCTTTCCCTCAGTTACCATGAAAACAAGGATTAAGAACACACATACACGAGAGAGAGAGTTAATAGAAGATACTTCATGCTTAGTCTGGAAGATGAAATAATTATTTGAGCCAGGTCAGATGGAATACTTTTTTTTAACACCCTTCAACATGCTATAAGAAAATATGCATTACAAGTCATGGTTTTATAACTCATAAACAACATAGCTGAATTTCCACTTCCCTGCCCCCACAGTTTAAACCAGCAAGTGCCTAAACGTTTCCAGCCAAGGAAAGCATTTTCTTAATGTTTCAGCTAATAAGTAAATATGAAGTTTCATTCTCAGAGGAATTAAGAGACGCATATGATAAACAGCTAAAATGCAAAGGGGGGGGGTTGTATGGGCATCAATTGCTGCTGGACAAAAGCTTTGTGTGCGGCTTAAGGATTGTCCACTACAGCCTTCACACAACTCTGTGTGTCTATTCCCAGTATTTCAACTGCAGCCATTTTTTGTTTTGTTTTCGCTATTAG